AAAGGAAAAGAGACACTGGAGACTATTCAAATTAGTAAAACTCCAAAGTAACAATCTGTCATTCCTCTGATGAGTCACGTGTCCATGTCTTTCCAGTTGTGTTTTGTATTCTTGATTCTTCCCTTTGTGACGGGTTCATAAGTCAAACAGGTCCACTTGCTCCCACCGTCAGCGGTATGTGTCTCGGTTAACTTTCCCACATCGAGCAGCAGGTCTCCGGCTGCTGGCTGGGTTTCAGTCTGCTGGCTGCTATGGTTACGTCGCAGGAATGAGAGCGCTGGGCTGTTAATAATTGATGGGGTGTTTGCTACACTATAGGTCCTGTAGCCCTGAGTAAAGTTTCCTGGGTTCCTACAGAGGCCCTGCTGTGTGTCAGGATCAGGAAGTGGCTCTGAGGCAGCGGATCATGTCTCGCTTTCATGCTTGACTGTTACGCATCAAAGCTGGCCGCGCTGCAAACTTCTATTGTTTAATTCTAATTATCAGCGTCAAGGCTGGAGCCACTGTGAGCCACGGTTAACTTATTTAGGAGGAACAAGTACAAAGAATATTGAATGGCTAATCACTTCCTAAAATTCATGTACAGACTGGTGAGTGGATTAGAAAACTTTAGATGAATTAGTGGCACACTGTAAAGAAAAAAATAATAATTAAAAAGGTTTTAAATGCTATTTAAAAAAATAAAAAGTAAATATTTAGAGCATCATCAATTTTATCTCAGTTTTTTGATTATTTTTTGGGAAATTTGCGATAAAGTTTAACTGAGCTGTGATAAAACAAATCAAACTTGATTACTGTCCTACACGCGGTAATTTATAGAAGTTTAATGTTACGTATTGGTTCTAACGTTTTTGTTTAGTTTTGTTTTTTTATACGAGTTTTAACAGGTTTATGAACAATTTACTTATTTTACATTACAGATAATAGCTAATAAATGACAGAAAAAGGGTATTAATTTAAATTTATATGTATATATTATGGATTAAAAATTAGTAAAATAAATAAAAACATTAATACATTTAAATAAAGAAATTTAAACTCTGAATTTCAGATATCTAGTAAAACACAGAACAAGGTACTACAATTATGATTGCATAAAAAATAAAAAAGGGAAGAAAATATAATGTCAAGATCAAAAATCTGTATTTTTACATATGGTACCTTGACAGGAAAATTACGCTATTTTTACTGTATTTAAAACAACGAAAAAAGTCTTTATTTTACAGATATTTATATTATTTAAAAAAGAAATATATACATAAAAGACTGAAAAATTGTAAATTATTTTTAAACTTTTTTTTAAAAACAGATTTTCCCTGTTTTGTTACGTTACTATCAAGTAAAATCACATCTAAAAAGTATTAATTCACATGTAAAGCCTTAAAATCAGGCAAAAACTGAAGATCATGGCAACATCAAAAAATCTACATTTTCACAAACAGTAAATTGTTCTTTTACAATGCTTGTCCATAGCATTTTTACTATTTTAAATGCAATTAAATCAGCTAGAAATATTATGACTTTACAGATATTTGCTGTTATTTTCCTACTTTTACATTTTTTGAATGTAATCCAGCATTTCTAAAACATTTTTTCAGCCACCATTACTGCCAGATTTTTACAATTTAAGTTTTTTTTGTTATTTTACATTTTACAGTGCAGCGACATACCAGATGCAGGCTCGTGGCTTCAGTTCAGCAGGTGTAACAGCTGGCCTCGGGTCAGCCAGAGCACCAGTGGTGAATTATTAATGATCTGCAGAAAACAGAGTCTGGCCAACAGCTACTACTGTTACTAAAAACAAGCACTTAGCAGAGGTGTGTCCCCTCCAGGTAGGTAAATAATCACTCATTCCTGGCTCACACCGAGTCCGTTCAGCAGCAGAGTCTTCACTTCAGATGGTGTTTTATTTCTTTCAGTCTGCAGCCACTCCTTCCAACATGCAAACGACCAGAGCGCCTTGTTCCACCGTATTAGCTCAGAGCTAAACTGCAGGTTTCACTATGAATGCAAAGGCATAACTAGAATTCTTCCACGGTGCATCATTCAAATAGGCTCCTCTCATAAATATTAATAGCTGAGGGGGGCCTGGAATGGACTTATTATGCTTAGTGGGTAATGAGGAATAGCAAAGCCTCTCTGGGTAAATATAGAGCTTAGAGGACAAATACTCCAGAGGTTTACAGAACCCACAGAGAGGCTGTAATTACACAGGTCAGGGCTTTGGAGCTTCCACTCACAACAGACGTATTCATGGCATGTTGTCAACAATGTTGAAGTGCTGCAAACACCCACTTCACGGCTACCTGGACTCCTGCAATTCATGCCCAGACTTTTACGAATTAAGTTCCAGACCGTCTCGTGCGTTGAAGATTAAAAAAACTGGAGTGTGAAATGCATAACTTTGCAATATCGAGGGCATTACGTGTGAATTCAACAACATCCTCCAACCGCTGTTTGTACAGAAGTGTTCATCCCTTTAATCCGCTGAACCTCAAGGAGTTTCTGGCGGCTTCTCTGCATTTTTACTCACTGTGGGCTCATTTTTCACTGCAATGTAAAGTCCTGCACCTCTATGGAAACAGCACAACCCTGACAAGAAGCACAGAGAGCTACAAAATGTCTTTTGTGAAGTTTGATAAAGTTATAGCGCCACAAATCAGAAAAAAAATAAGCAAAAGTTGATTTTCTTTGATTATTTGCATACAGTTCAGCCCAGTTCAGATAAAAAAGTCCCTGAATTCTTGTGATGTGAGTGTTGATTGCAGCTGAGTCACGAATAACTTCACTGTTGCACCAAGGAATGCAGAATTTTTTGTGTTTTACAGGATCTGCTGAGACTAAACGACATATTTTTTGGATTCTTTTTTTTAAACCAGACACAGATTAAAGGCATAGATTTGGTTTGTGTTTCTAATAGAATGTTATAGATGAGTGGTTACCTCTAAAACCTGAAACTCTGATGATGTTTTTACAGTTTCCTGCTCTGATAAATGGTGTCATTTTGTCATTTTTATAAAAAGCCAATTTCCTTTTAAAGCTGCCGGTGGGTTTTGAGGTCCAGAAGGTAAATATTAACATGCGTACTCAGGTATTGAGGGCAGCGATGCACATCAACGAGGACGTAATTATTCACAGAAATATTAGGTGTTTACATGGTTTCAGTGCAATGACGTTCAAACATTTATCGGGTATTTCATTTGCTCGAGCAGCCAAATAGGTGTCTGGTCAGGAGGTCAAGCTGCTGGTTAGACTACACTGTGTAATTGATTTAAAACATGTGACGGAGGTTTAAAACACGAGTTTCAATACAAAACTGTGACACCAGGAGGAATCTGTAGAACCACTAAAACAACAGTTAAGCTCTGAGTCAGCCGCGTTGCATAACGTATATCTCAGATTGTAGCGTTAATCTGCCAGCTGCAATGTTAAAAATTGCAATTCTTATTCAAAGTTGATTAACCGTTAACAAATTAATTCTACTATAAAAGAGGATTTAATTGATATCAGCTGATCAAAACTCTTCTGAGGAATGCTATTGAACCTTGAGTCCAAATCAAAACAGTTTGTTTAATTCAGGATTTGCTGTTTCAAACCTAGAAAGCACAAATCTGGGACACAACACATCTCGTGTGATGTTTCCAGAGCGACACCACCATCAGACTTCCCAAATCAAACAGCGCATCAATACCCACAGCGATCAGGGTCAAAGGAGAGGAAGACGCAGCGGTTTGGGAATGCAGTCGAAACTATTGTGAAACTGTGTGGTAGGCAGGTAGAAACTTGCATGTGTGGCAGAACCAGTACGGTGAGGAGAAAATGCGACGTGCAGCTGACTATAAACTTCCAGACAACATAAACTCAGCATTAAACTAAGCCAAATGTACAGAAAATGACGTCAAACAGCGTCTCAGTGCCTACAGCTGTAGCTCGATATGAATAACACAAGATCTCATTTAGTTTGTTTGTTTTAACAAAAGTTATTAAAAACAAAAACAGCTCTGGATCTATTCATCCATCAAAATAACACGATAACGTTGATCAGAAACGTTGGAAGATGGTGATCCTATAATGTCACAGCGCAGATATTTGCAGCAGCGACGTTATTGAGTGTTTATTAGCGCTTTTACACGACTACATGAAGAAAATGGCCAAAAGTGACGAACCAAACGTAGCAGCAGGTGGTGGATTAACAACTTCATTTATTGTTTTATTACAGGCGGCTGCAGTTACATAAACTGTCATTGTGCTATAGACGGAACTTGCTGTGTTTTTTTGGCATCTATAAAAACAGCAGATTTCCTCTAAATACTACATTAATACTATTATTTATTATTATTTGAGATATTCTGTTATGGGACTTCTTTGTATGAACTTTTTCTTCTCACCTGCAGCTCTTCTTCTGGACAATATTACTATTAAATTAAACTTACAAAACAATTATTTCCACCTTTACACATGAATTCAGCTGTAAATCATCATTAATAAAGCAGAATCCTAAGGTATAAAGTTTGAGAACCACCTATGTTGGCTGAGCACAAACAGAAAGTAGAAATGACCTTAAGTTGCCTCAAGACAGACTCAGTGTCTCTCATTTTATATTATTTTTCCTCTGAAATAACAAGAAAATATGCTATTTTTAGGTTAAAATCTTCATGTTTGTAGGCTGGAACAATCCCCTAATGTGCCAAACATCTTCTTCTGTCAAACTAACAGCTAAATATTCTCCACAACACACAGCAGAGCATGAAAACAACCACATCTGCTCCTCAAACAGAACTCAGCAGCACAGTGAGTTAGCTGTTAGCTGTTAGCAGTTAGCCGTTAGCTGTACCTGCTCAGCTCTCTGCTCGGTGGATAAACCTTTTTAAACTGAGGTTCACTTCAGTTAAACGTTAGAAATGTTTCTCCTGAGCGTCTCCTCTCCCTCCACAGCTAGACACCAGACCCACAGAGCAGCTGTGAACCAGGAAACACCTGCACAAGAGCAGCTCACTCACCTGTGAAGCTCCTCTGTTCAGCCTCAACGGTTCGGTTCACTCGTCAAAGTTTTTAAAATCCGCTCTTCAGAAGTTTCCCTCTCGCTTCACTGACTTCACGGTTTCTCGGTACTTCGGAAAGTTTCTCCTAAATCTTCCCGGACGCAGGTGAGGAGGCGGGGCGTGGACGCAGCCACGCACAGGTGAGTTTCGTAGCGTCATCACGCTAGAGGAGCGTCACAGGTGGTTAAGGCTCCGCCCAGTTTTGGGTGTGACGAAGCCTCGTGTTTGATTTGAGTCAGATCCACTGACCACAAATGGAAGTGACCGGAAGTGGTTGGTCATAATATATAATAATTCATTTAGGATTATTCTAGTAAATTGTACACTGTTTAAAATAAAAAAAATAAAATAAAATACAATTTAAAAAATAAAATAAAATAAAATAAAAAAGTGAATAAAATAAAATAAAATAAAATAAAATAAAATAAAATCTGGCAGCAAAGGTGCCAGAAAAATATATCTAAAAAACGGTGGAATATTGGAGCATTCAAAAACTGTGAAAATAACAGCAAATATCTGCAATATTTTATTTTTTTTAGCTGATTTAATTACAGTAAATAAAAACATTTTGCAGTCACACATTATAAAAAACAAATTAATATGTGTAAAAACACAGATTTTTGACAATATGTACAGTTTTGGTGTGTTTTACTTTACAGTCAATTTGCAAATTAATACATACTTACGATTACTATTACTAATTAATATTTGTAGTTCAGCAAAACAGGAAAATCTGTAAAATAACAGATAAAAAGACATTGCTTAGAAATTTTTAATCTATAATATATAGAATTTTTCTTTCAAACAGTGATAAATATCTGTAAGACAATGATTTTTTTCAGATTCAAATAAAAAACAAAACAAAAAAACATTTATTAAACTAGTAATTATTGATGTTGACATTATTTACAGTTTTGGCCTGTTTCTGTTTACAGTCAACAAGTAAAGTTGTATTTTTTTTCTGCAATTTTATTAGATATTATCTGTAAAGTAATAAAACACAGACAATCTCCAAAATAACTCTTTAAAAAAATAATTAGTATTACTTAATCCTTTTATGCAACATTTTTCTTTTGTATAACAGCCAATACCTGATGTTTTTAGGGTTGTTTTTTCTGATTTAAACACAGTCAAATAGCATTAAAAAACACCATTTATAAAAATACAGACTTCTGATTGGTACATTATTTAGAGCTGTTTTCCTATGGCTAACATTTAAATTAATACTTTTTTCTGTGATTTTACTAGTTATTATCTGTAATGTATTATAACAGGGAAAGTCTGTAAAATAACAAAAAAAAAGTCAAAAAAATGTTTATTTTTTCCTGTCTACAGGTAAATTAATTTAAAATAGGAAGTCCCCACTTTTGCAGATGTCATTGTGAAATTAATACTGTCTTATACAGGATCACAGTTTACTTCCTTAAACTGTAAATTGCGTCTGTGGTTTATTACTACACTTTATGTGACCTTGTACTGGTGACGTGTGCAATGACAATAAAGTTGAATGTAATCTAATCTAATCTTAGGCATGAAAGCTTCTAGTTTAACTGGAGAAATGTTCAATAAATAACCTCCCTGCTGGTTTCAGGTTAGAGGACGGGAGACTGGAACCTGATAATTGCACCATTTTCGAGTTATTTCAGAGTGAAATAAATACAAAATGTGAGACACTGTGCTCCCGGCAAAGTAAGGTCATCACACCTTCTTTTTGTGCTGAACCCACATTAATATCAGACTGAGTGCAGGCAGCCGGAGCAGCGCTTCTGAACGTGTGTGTGCTTTGAATTCATCTTATTTATGATCATTGACAGAAATATAATTAGAGGTAAGGGTGTGCCATAGAAGTACTTGGTTTTATAAATGTCATTTAACAGTAATTTGGGTGAACAACCCTTTAAATATTCCAAGAGAAGAGACTAAACATTATTTAATAAGTAATAATCATAGTAAATCTGCTGCCTGACTAAACATCTGTCCACAGTCTAATGATAGCCGATCTAACTACAGCAGCCTGTAATAAAACAACAAAATGTGCTCTTATGGCTTCTCGGCTTCCCCTTTTGTTCGTTACTTTAATTATTGGAGAGGCTGCGTTCTATATGTAGTTATGGGAAGCATCTACATGCGCAACAACGACACCCTGCTGCCAGACTGTGAAACTGAAAAGTCTCCGTAACAAAACACCGACGTAACAGAAACGTATTTGGAGTTTCAGGTCAGACTTTCACAAGCAGTAAAACAACATTAATATGTTTATGATCAGCTGTGTCGTATTGTTTTTGAGGGCTTTAATTCATGACTGGAATGAAAAAAGACAATTACAATACATTAAACATGGTGGAATATTTTAGTGTTCAAAATGGTAAAAACTGTAAAATAAAATAAAATAAAATACTATAAATGTATATAAATATTTGCAAAAAAAAATAATAGTCACACATCTTAAAATACATTATAAAACTAACTATTTCTAAAAAAAAAAAAAAAGAAAGAAAAAAGAAATAAAAATACAGATTTTTTAAATGTCAACATTATGGACAGACAATGTGTAAATTAATACTTATTCTGTGATTTTACTTAATGTTATTAGTTTTTTAAGAAAATAGGAAGGATATGTAAAATAATAATTTTTAAATTCTTGACTTTAATTGATTTTTCTTTTTTTTTTTCCTTTTAAATAGCAGCAAATATCTGTAATATAACAATATTTTTTGCTGATTTAAAAAGAGCAATAGAAATACATTCATTTTATGCATAAGTCTTGAAAAGGAACAAATTGCCATTAATAAAAATACGGATTTTTGAGATATTATTTACAGTTTGGGCCTGATTTTAGAATTAACATGTAAAGTCTACAATTTTACTAGTTATGATCTGTAATTTAACAAAGCAGGAAAATCTGTAAAACAAGTCAGCTGTTAAAAAAATGTGTTAAAAGTTGTTTTCCCAATTACTTTTTTTTAAAAAACACATTTATCTAATGATACGGTGTCTGTGTTTATGTGATCCTGCAGCACATCACTGCCAGAAACCAGCTCTGCTCATATTTGTGTTTTTTTTTCTATCGCTTGCTGAGCACAAATGTAATTCAGCTCAGCTCTGCTCCATTTTCTTGATGTTTAAAAAATAAGCAGTGATGTTACATGTGTAGTTTCTTCTTGTATAAACCTGCAGAGGAAAAAGCAGAAGAACAAATGAGACTCAGTTTCAGCAATCTTCAAGTTTTTATTTGTTTACAAAGTTAAGATTGCAATTTCATATAGTCCTTCCTTTAATGAGTAGAAAACCTTTTTAAAGAATTAGTCGAAAGGCACAAATTTTACAATATATACATTTGGATCTAAATTATAAATATATAGAAAACAAAAGCACAACCCAGAATAAAAGTGCTGAACACAGTTTTCTTTTTTTTTCTTTTTTTTTACAGAAAAAATAGGCTTTGTTTAAAAATACATACAATCAGTAGCATGTTTTTTGTTTCATTTTTTTTGTTAGCAATAAATTATTTGAGAGTGATAACATTTATATAATATGCAAATGGTGGAGAAACGAGAAAGATGGTTACAGTATACATAGAGCAATCCATCAAAGAACAGAAACACAACAAGCTTGCAACGCTCAATCATAACCAACAAGATAACAGTAACTTGATTATGCCATTCTTAGTGCAAAATGATAAAATGATTAAAGGCCTAGCTACACAAATAAAAGAATCCTAACAAAAAAAAAAAAGCTTTTTTTTCCTAACATTGCTGTCCATATCCCTCAAATGCATAAAGCTTTATTTTTGTGATCATAAAACACAAAATCAAAAGGCAAAACTTTTGCAGACTGACGTCTCGGAATGTGCCTGATGAGGAATATTCAAAGCAAAACGAACGAGGAAAACATGCTGTGGTGGAGAATTAACAAGAAATACTGTGAGTGAGTCGGTCTGATCCTAAAACCTGTTGTGAATCTGTTGGGAAGGCTTGGACAGATCAATTGCACATTTCAGCATAATTCGGGTGCGACTCAAAAATCTGTCAGCGTGAATGAACTGTCCAACAACTGCAAGACAAAAACAAAAAAAAAAAAACCTGTCCACAGAAAACATAATGCTTCTTCAACAGAAACAGCCTTTCATCGTTGCCCTAAGAAGGCATAAACATTTAGAATCACTGACATTTTCACAAGGACAAACAACAAACCCATCACATTAAGTCTAAAACATAAATACAGCAAGAGTCACAGCACAGAGTTAAGAAAAAACAAAAAAAAAAATAGCACATGTATTCATTAGTTTCACCGCTGTTATAAGGGGAAATGATATATTTCTGCTAACGCCCCGACGTTACACCGCTTGTAGGTTTCTTCCTGAGATTGATAAAAGGTCTGATATCTTAGAACCAGTAACTTTAGGGGTGTCTGTGGAATACTTTGGTATCTCTCTGCGAACTGAAGGCCTGGCCGAAGGTCTACGAGTTGGAGAAACAATTCTACTTGAGGAAAGCAAAACTGAAAGGAGCAGAAACAAATCCAGACACTGTACAGCAGTACAGAACAGTGCAATCTTATTTGGTGGCAGGTTATAATAGAACTTTTTGTTTTTTTTATTATTATTACTATAGCAATCTTGAAAACTAGTAACTTCCCTGACCAAACATGTCGTTAACTATTATAATAAGCAAGATAACGTATCTAAAATCTAAATATCCCTTAAATATAAATAACAATAACTTTTATAATAACGATGACTAAAACATCCAGAACGCATTGCGTCCTGTGAAAAAACGTACTTTACAATGGTTTGTATGCGTTTCAGAATGTGTTTGACTAAAAGACTATTAAGCAACAGAAAAAAAAAGAAGATTCATACCATGCAAAGGTAACCACAAAGCTTTGCCTGTTGAGCGTAAACAGTACGTAGGCATGTCTGTTTCAGAACAAGTGTGGAATAATGTTTTATTGCTTTTTGATCGCTTGAACTTCACCCGGCATGTTGTCACGAACCAACTACAGTGCATCGTCTTCACACAAAGATGGCCAGATCTCACAGGTTTGTAAATATCATACGGTGAACATCACGAGTCCACGTCTTTTGAAAGGTTTTTACAGCACGGACGCCTGAAATGGAAACAGTCAGATATTTGTGATCGGTTCAACTCCTCTGGAACCTTTTGTCCGAGACTTTTTTTTTTTTTTCCCGACGGGGCTTTTTTTTAAAACCTCAATTAAAAATGTGAAATTCTGAAGACTGAAAACAAATGTTTGATATCTACGTTGGTCAAAATGACACGTATACACACACACACACACCAGAAAGAAAAAAAAAACACTCAAGACTTTCCTGAGGAATTTCAAATCAAAACAAAACAGGAGTCACATCACCAAAACTCTACTGTCAGCTTAAAAAAACAAAAAAAAAAAACAGGGAAACTGGGTATAGATTTTTGGACACAGTTTTCTATCCGTGCTGCTTAACAATCTGTCCGATCGCCTCGAACACGGTCATCTAACCTGCGACAGAGAGGACACAAACAAAGGACGTCGCTCTTCTTTTAGGAGCAGACAAGCATATACAGGCTAAATGTCTTCCTGAAACCCAACACCAGCGGAGAGTAACGCAAACAACAACTAACTGACTGACTCACTGACTGAAGGGGCTAAAAGTTAAATACAAATATACCATATTAAATTAAAATTAAAATCAACGCTCAAGAGTACAAATCTATACATTAGGCTACATGGATTCTAAAGACTGCATTTATAGATTTCTCCAAAAGGCACTGTTTGCAACAGCAGACTGCTCTTCCTCTCCCTTTTTCCTCACACTAGTGTTCATACAAGCAGGGAGAGAAACAAGAGGGAGCATGTAGAAGAGAGAAAAAAAACAAAAAAAGAAACGACAACTGAGGCATTTCATGGCTAATCAGCTAAAAGATTTCATGTGTTTTTTTGCTCTCGTCTTCCAGTTCAACACTATGTCTCGTTTCACTCAAACCAAGCCTTGCATACAGTTTTTTCATTTTTTTTTCTGCCATGAAGCGAAGTAACAGTAAAGCAAAGTCTAAAGATGTGGTTTTAACTGGTGAAAGTCATGTAGAGCTTCCAGCAACTTCACCAATCATACCTCGTAAAAATCAGCAGCGGGAGGTTTTGTTAAAAGATTTCCACACCTCGTCGATGAGCTTGTGTTTCGACAGCTCGTGTGTTCGATAGAATACAGTTATCGCGTGTTTTTTTTTTTTGTTTTCTTTTTTTCTTCTTCTTCCACTTCCTTTAATTTATTCATTTATTTTTTTTCAAACAGCTGCCTTTTACTGTGGAGGACACACTTTGGTGTAGAAATCTGATATTGATCGAGCTCCGACATCACCTCGACAGCCTCAAGCAGGTGAACGCTACAGGTGGATAAAGAGAAGGGTGAGCCCAGCGCAGGACAGGCAGTGACTTGACTATACGCCCTGAGGGGAGAGGGAGCAGGTCCAAGGGTGCGATCGTAGACAGCAGCAAACAAGACGCGATCTGCTTTAAAAGACAAAAATAAAATAAAAAATACCCAAAGATAAACAAAGTCCCGACTAGCTGTTGCCGTTCAAAGCTGCTAGTCTTGCTGCCGGTACTGGATGACAGACTTGCGGTCCGGCCCGGCCTGCAGCATGCTGTTCAGAGCCTCGCGAACGTCGAGAGCGCCGGAGCTGCAGTGGCCGTTGGGTAAAGAAACAGAGTCCGGCTGCGGGAGGAGATAGGCGGCGGGGAAGCGAGAGGTAGAGTTGGAAAAGAGGGAGGAGGACGGGCTGGAGAAGAGAGAAACAAGGTTGTTGGACACGGCGGAGGTGGAGGACGTAGAGGAAGAGCAGGACGAGGAAGAGGACGAGGGGCTGGCTTTCTGTGTGGGCATCTGGGGGGACAGGGGCAAGTCAAACAAATCTAACAAGTCATGGTGGTTATTGGCCAACAGGTTCTGCTGCTGCTGCTGCTGTGAGGCCTGTAGATGCTGCTGCTGCTGCTGCTGCTGTTGTTGCTGTTGCTGAAGTAAAATGGGCTGCTGTATCTGCTGCTGGGCATTCGTCGTGTTAGACATGAGAGACTCCAGATTAAATTCGCCTGGGAATGCTGCAGAGTTGCCCGCTAGCGTGTCCAGACTCAGTGCGCCCTCTGTGCTGTCCGGAGAGGGCGACGGTGAACTCACTGTCAGGTCCAAGATGTCGTCCAGGGGGTTCTTGGAAGACAGCGAGGTCTGATGGAGTGGAAGAGACGGGTTCTTCGGCTGTGAAAAAGGTGATACAAAGGACTGCGGGTAAAACGGTGAGTAATTGAGGCTAACTGTGTTGGTCAGAGGGCCCTGGTTGGTGGTGATGGAGGAGGAGGAGGAGGAGGTGGAGCTGTTGGGCCAGTTGTTATGGGTCCTTTGCTGGGTTGGATTTCTCTGTAAAGACAACAGGGGTAAGTTGTGTTGGGGGTGTTGTAAAGAGGACTGGCTTTGGGGCTGCAGTCTCTGCAGCTGAGAGATGCCCCCGGTCGGAGTCCTTTGCAGGGCGTTTTGGTTCAGTTTCTGTTTGAGGATGGGGTTCTGGGCGTGAGTCTGAACGAGGGACTGGGTGAGCATGGACTTCTGGCTGAACAGATTCTGCAGGAGATGTTTGTTCTGCTGCTCCATTTTACGCATGCGATCCTCAGCCAGGCGCTGCTCCACGGCCTGCTGCTCCTTCTCCTTTCGCCTCCTCTTCACCTCCTCGTCCATCAGCAGCAGCTCCTCGCGCACACGAGCCACACAGTTCTCTGGGATCTTGATGCCTGAGAGAGACGAAGAGTAGAGTCAGATGAGTGGGACAAATCTTCAAACTTTTCAAAATATGCGACAATCCAAGGCCACATGTTCAAATAATGGAAAGATTGACAAGAAAAGGGTAGACGGAAAGGCAGGTTTATCACTAAATATTCAAAAATGTGAGCTTCTGGGATGTGTGCTCTCATAGATGATACACATGGATGGCCTATTTTTTTTCATATCTTTGTGAAATTTGTGTGTACTGCACGGAAAATACAGACCGGACACCAAATCTCTAGTAAACATCCTCAAACTTGTATTTTTAATGGATCTTGAAACTGATTCATAATTTCCAAAGTGTCCTTGTCAATAAAGTGCTCGCAGAAGTTCAGCAAAGCCAAATTAGGAAAGTGAGGAACTGTTTCATTTCCTCAATTTATCAAAAACACGTGTCAGCACTTTGACAGCATCTCATTTTACCGTCAAAACAACTCACTGACATTTGGAAATTAAAATTTGAATTTAAAACTCTGGGCTGGAAGTTTATAGATTAATCTTAGCAGAGTCAAGTCTGACAGATTTTTCTAATAAGCAGTAGAAGACGGTGTTAGACTCGATACTTCAGTTGGAAGCCCAAGAACAAACCGGAGAAATCTTCAGTTCTTAGATGTAGAATTTATTCAGGTCACAGGTAAAGTGAGGCAGCGCTGGGCTCAGAGTGACAGAGCTCTGAGAGAGATCTATCAGAAGGAGCCCCGACATCCGGAAATGACTCACATTTATCTTCTTGGGCTGGTCCTGTACAGAGGTTGGACGTTTACGCAAGCGAGTTTACTGTGACGTGAACAGGCTAGCCACTGTTCAAGTGGAAGTTCACTGAAATGTAAACTGCTTGGATTGAATACAAAGTGTGTGTGTGTGTGTTATCCAGAAGGCGTGCATGTAAAGCAACTAATAGAAAAGAGGAGTTTCCGCTGTCTCCCAGTATGTGAACCAGTTCACACCGGCCATGTTATCTTCAAGGATGTGCATTGTGCTCAGTAGAAAAAAAGCAAAACAGGATCATCGGTTCAGTGGAGAGACACAGATTCAGAACAGCTTGAAACATAATTAATGATAACAACGGCGACTGTGTACTAACCGACTTGCTTGTTGTGCTGCTTAGTTTTGAGGCGGACAATCTGGAGGATGCTGGAGCTGGTGATGTCAGAAACCACGTCGGATACACGCTTCCACACCCGCAACAGAGCTCCGCACAGCATGTGGTACTGACGGAGGCGCATGCCCTGCAGACACTCTTGGCCTTCCTCGATTTTCTTACACTTTCCATTCCTAGGGAGAGGGCAGAGAAGAAAATGTCAAATCATGTATTTTTGTAAAACCCTGAGACAGTCCCATTCTTGAATTTGAAGCACAGCTCACTGGTCATCTGGTGATAACATGTGAGACTTGGGAGGCAATTTCTTCATGACTAGTTCTCAGGTGATCTACAAATCCTTGGGAATGGCATCTGACCTTAGAACCACCCTGACTGAATCCTAACAAGTACCAGCCTGATTGGATGCATTGAGCCATTAATCCTGAGGGACGCTGTGGATTCCTACTCACCAGTTGGCGTGACTACACTTCTTGAAAGAGAAGGTGAACTGGTTCTCCCAGCTGTCCCTCGCTTCCTCAGGAGTCACCTGGGGGAAAAAAAAAAAAAAGCACAACACTGCTATCAGCTAATATCCACAATTTGTTAAAACACATTTTTAGCAATGCAGAACTGAGAGTTATTTTCAACTTCCAACCAAAGGTCATGCTATAGCTTTAGCTCATTTATAATCATTGATTGTGTCAAAGGAAAAAAAATGACTCTTGTGCTCAGTGGGCTTATAGTGAAAGGTCATTAATCATTACTCTGTTGTTCACATAGCAAAGGGAAACAAGTGCAGCTTTAATAAACAACTTGAATTTAAACAAAAGCACCACACTTGACCCATACTTTTTCTAATGAGCTACACTTATAATGTTTAACAGTTGGAGAGTCTGTGACATGTTGCCACACTGCTTGGCTCCAGAGTGCATTAAACCTTGTCTGGTTTAGTGCATCTGAATGTCCACAAGGGGGCAGCAGACTCCGTATAGTTACTGTGTATACAGTATAATACAGTGTATGTACTGGTAACAGCAGTGATGGAGGAACAGGTCAGTCCAGAAAATGTCTGGCTTTGTATTCTGTCAAATTTTCCCCATATTATTTTTTTACACTATTTATTATGGTGAAAGGTTATGCTGTTGTGATACCTTGAAATAAACAATAAACGGAAACATATAGATTATGGACAGTATTCACAAGCAACAAAAATGACCTTTTACGATGAAACAAACCATAACATGAAATGCAGACTGTTTAGTTCTCTGCTGTCTGGAAAGCAGGATATAGATACTGATATATAGACACTACAGTTATCCTTACTATTTTGTCAACAGCTATTTAAGCCATTACCTTCCGGTAACGTTGGTGCAGGTTGTCGAGGCTCTCAGGATGGGTCTGCTTTCCGATGTTGGGCTTGTAGACGATGAAGTTTTTGCCTCTTCCTTGTTCAGCTAGCAGCACACATGGGTGGTTACCTCGCAGCTGTGGAGAGGACACACACACACAGTAACCTTTATTAGCATGCTCCTAGGGACAAATAAAATCCTTTGAGTGGCCATTCATTAATAAATCTTGACTCCTATACTATAGCCAGAGTAGAGTTTGCTTATTATAACATGGACTCACCTTCAGGGACAAGTAGAATCCCTCATCAGGACCACTGAGCTTCAGCGACCTGTTGTAGGCCTCGTCCCAGGGCATACCTCTGTCCACACTGATCTGCAGGGACAAAATGATCAGAGATTGAAGCATGTGCTGTGAAAGAGAGTTGGTCAAGCAGCCAAACTGCCACATACTGCCGGCATTAAGCTCTGTGACTTTGTCAAAGAAACTCAAGATTGCTCTAACAACACAAAGACAAATATAGTCACGTATGTACAATGAAGGAGAATAAAACGACATTGAGGCATGTACCCAACGCATTCTTTGTACTTGTTAAACTGGTCCTCCTGTGGAGGATTCTGCTTGGCTTTCAACTTTGAAATGTCAAGAGTAGGTTAGTCTGCAGCCGTCGGCTAAAAGCAAAAGATACCAGTAATTATCTTGTTCCCGCCTCCCAGTGGTACCTACATAGACTCCATAGCCTCATACTAAGCCTATATGATCACAGTGTTTTGGCGAGTGAAGTGACATCAATCAAAACTCATACACTGCAGATGTAGCTTCTGCAGCCACCTGTGGGGGTGCCAGTTATGTGGAACAAATTTCTGTTTGTATGCAAAAAATGTATGCAGTGCAAGTCTTGTCAAGAAAACCTTGAACAATTGATAGTCTCTGGTATTTGAAGATGGCTCGGATGTAATTGAAAGTGGGGCCTAGCCTGGGAACCAGACAAGTCTGAGAGCTCAGGTTTCATTTGGTCTGGCAGAATGCTTCTGGGCCCCCTCCCATTCAAACAGATATCCACACAGCCTTGCTTGTGCCGGACCAATCACAACCCTTTATTTGTCACAGGGAGGGTTTGATACGACGACTGTACGGAGGAGCGGCGCTAACAGATAAAGCTGAAAAATGTATCCAGATAAAATGTTTTATTTCACTCAATATTGATATTTCTGACCTATTTTTAATATAAACCAGGAGAAAAAAGGTTTATTTAGAACTTAACCACATCACTTTAAATGTAATCACTCAGACCTAGTCCTGAAGCATTTTGGTCTGTGGCCCTTAGAAACCAAAAACTAACTGAGAAGTGTCAGACTAATTCACTATTGCGCATTTGTCTGTTGACACCACAATGTTGGCGTACTGGGATCCTACAAATCCTCCTGTATTTGACTCGCAATAGAGAGCACAGGTTTTCCATTTTTCATTGACAGAATCTCTTCTGGGTTGCTCGATCTTTCCTAGCAGGTACAACAAAAGAGGGTGTATTCTCTTGGCACATCTTGGGGTGCTATTACAGTATTTTGTGGCTATCAGTATATACCTGTCTGCTGTTGTCCCAGTTTTAAAATAATATTGACTCCACCTCTTTCTACAATGGCCAGCTTTTTACTCTCGTAGTTCCCTTAACCTGTCCTTCTTTAAAACAAAGGTCGAAATTGCAGGCTAACACATGACACCATGATGATGTTGTTCCTACAATAGCAACAGTTTTGTAGAAGATGTCACATGACATACACAATATTCCAAGAAAATAATCCTCCTGATACACCTGAGGTGAGGTAATGCGGTTCCTACCTTATAAAGAACAACCTGTCCATCCTGAGGATTTCCAACTGTCAAGAAAGTTTCCTGCCTCTCTTCATAAATCTCATCGTTACCTGGAGCCAGATCTGGCAAGGACAGAAAAGAACCAATGCAAGAAGATTAGGACGCAGCTCTTAGGAAAAAAAAATCAATTGTCAAGGACCCAATGCAATCTAATTCCAATATATTGACAGGCATACGTTAAGAAAGAAAACTATTATTAGTGTTTTACAAACTGATGTGAGTGTTGATTAACTTTAGCTTTAGTCTTGTGTCCGTCAATCAATGAAAACGTCTGTCAATGTACTGTTTTTTCCTTTTAACTTTGGTAGTTGGGGCTACGTTGCATTTAGAGTTTCTACAGTATTACCTAAAATCATGCTTAAAAATTAAATCTTTGAGTTACAATTGATCTCTTTTCATACCTAGGATGCCCATGTCGTATTTGCCCTCCTTCTTATCTTTCTCAATTAGGTAGTCAAAGTTGTCAGTGAAGTACTGGAAGAGACAGTTCTGCTTGTGGACCTCCAGGCCCAGGATGCGATTAAGGAACTTTGTGATGCTGCAGTCTGAGAAAAAAAACACAACACAGAACAGTTAATGCAGCTAATTCTGAGCTGAGCAACGCTGAACACTGAACTTGCCTGAGGTAAATTTTAAAGCAGGTGTATTGATCTCTTAATACACTGCACGCCTTTGGGTACTCTACCTTTCTCAGTACTGATCCCAAAGCGAGACTCCTTACAAAAGATGCCCACGTCCATCATTCCAACTTTCATATCTGGAAATAAAGAAAAGCAAAGTTGTTTTACTGGTCAAGGAAAATACATTTTCAACCGGAAGATATTTTCTGTTTACCAGTCAGCAAAAGCTCAAACATACCTCTGAAGAATATGGCTTCACCCCCAGGGTAGCCTTTGGGAGGGGGCACCTTGTTCTCTATGTGGCCAAGAATTGCTTTGGTGATTTTATCGAGAGCCTTGGTACCGTACTGTAAGAAAAAGGGACATGTAATTGGTGTAGACAAAGGCTTGTTCAGCAAAGCAAATCAGCTGTTACCATAAATTACACAGGCTCAGACAGATCTTAGACAGAAGACTATTTTCAGAGCTTGTTGAAGTTTCTTACCTTATTCTCAAAGTTGTACTTGCTCAGGTCTCTGGACTCAGTTGCTCTTCTGTCTCCGTGGGTTAATGCACCCTGAAAGGTGGATTAGCAACAGTGTTAATATTATTAGTACCATTAGGTTTACAGCCTTCACAGCATCATCACACTAATGCAGCCTGGCGCAGTGACGTGTTTGCTGTTTATCTGAAATGGTAGAGCTCCTTATTTAATGTGGCGCCACTGCTCAGCATTGGAATGTATTACTATTGCAAATAACTATCGGATTATATATGGGTACTACAGTAGATTTCCTATAGGATCAATGGGTGGGTATTTACAGCGGTTTTCTAGTCCTATAAACCATAAATACTTTTCAGTTCAAGATACTTCACGTGAGATGCACAGTGTATGTTATTATATTGCATTAACTTGAAGAATTTGGTCAAATCCTTTAAAATTACAACCTTTGATTTCAATCAAGTCAGTTCAGCAACTATGCTGATTGGTCTGATGTAATTCTGTAACATTATAGTGATGGGTGTGGAACTATAATAGAGTGGAAAACACAGTCAAATAAACAAGGACTTTACTCTGCAAAACGCAGAAACTCGATAGCGTGCCTTCGTGATGGTACGCTCTGGTCTCTACACTGGGTGTCAAAGGAAACTGATGAGGTTCAGGTGTGAAAAGAAACGTTTTCTTTAACCACAAGTTGACAGTAGTTTGTGCATCTGAGGATTCCAAGTGACATTTCGCAAAGAGATTCAGTCAACTGCAAGATAAAAGTGAATTTAGAGACGTAACAAAGGTTAAGGATAATTTAGACAAAACCAAGTCAATAGCAGACCAGTCCTGTAGCCAGCTGCTGACTCACTCAGAAAAATGCCTTGAGATCCCAAAACAAAGGGATGCCTTAGCTAAATAGGACTTCACTGCTGATCTGGAGTCAGCTACTTGTAAAGGCATTCAGCCGTTTTGCTCGACTGACTGTGTTTGCGTGCACTTGTGTTGTATCGGGTTCAAGCAGGCAGACAGACAAGATGTGACCTATTCTTGATACGGATTTACCATACGCGGTTGGCAAACGCAGGAGCGACTTCCTGGAACAGCCAACCCCTTGCACCCTCCTTGCACTTTTCCCAAAAGAACTGTCATGCTGTGTCACTATGGAAATAGACGACTGCTAGTGCAGAAATGCATCGATAATTGTGGAAAATAACTGTGGACTTATAAATTATCCAGACAAGCTCTTTTGCTTTTTCTGCTTCATCATTTTTCCGTTATTGAGCCGAGGAAGGGAAAGACCCAGAATCTCTTGAGGTTTGTGGAGAAAAGTTGATGCAACTTCAAGGGAACCAACAATGAGAGAGACTGTAGGGAGCTTGAAGACAAGGGAATATCCCAGTGAACAGGAAGGACAGAGGGTGAAAGCAGGGTGAAGAAACAAATGGCAGAGTCACAGGCAAACCAAAGCACGACAATCAATAAACAGAAAACAGAAATCCTCTCTGTTTACAGTGAAACAATTCGTCTCACACGCCATAAGACCACAAGATGAAAAGGATTATTTTCCCTTGAGACAGATTTCACTGTATTGAAAGGGAAGATAAAGGAAATGTGGGACAGATAATTGTGGAAAACAACAGAAGCAAAATGCAACACACTCCCATATATGTAGGACTACGATACTTACCAGGCTCTCCAGTCTCTTAGCCACAATGGAGGCAAAACGTCTCTCCCCAGCTAACTCTGAGATGAGGAAGATGTACTCCGGCGCCGTCACCTGATTGGACCGATGGGTTCGGCCTGGAAAGATCAAGGAAAGGTGTCAGTGAGACAATTTGAACATTCAGAACATTCAGAGAGATAAAGACTGCAGCCTGATCGTGCTCTACAGTGTTAATTAATAGGACAGTGCAGGATTTTGTCCAGCAGCTCTGCATTTAACAGACTTTATTGGGATCAACAGCCGGACAGACTGATGTAAAAACATGTTAGGTTGCTGGTTTTAGTTCAAAGCGAGCTCCATCCAGTGACAGAATGGATAAATAATTACAAATAGAAAAGTAAGAAGGGGGATTTTTCCTGATGACGTGATCTGTATCATTGAATAAAATCTGATCTTGACTCTGAGAGATGATCCTCCCACTAGTTTGATGTTTACATGGAAAAACAAAAAACTCTCCACAAGGTTTTTCTTTGGAAGTCTCTTCAGAATATGTTCTGAGTAAAACACCATGTCTGTGTTTGTACAGCATGTGTTTTTGCATAAACAATAAGCTGCCGAATGAAGCAGTTTGCAAATGATGCTAACAGTGAACTCATCCACAGCTCTGTGATGGTGTGGATGTTTCAACATGCAAAATCTTTATGACAGAGGAGGAAGAGATTGAAAGTTTTTTAGTACATCCTCGTGCCTTTCAGCATACCAGTACTGGTATTCATTATTCCTGACATCAATTCAGACCACACCACTGAAAAACTGAAAGACACCGCGACTTCGAACCACCATCAGTCCATCAGTGAGAGCATTTGCCCTAATTTTGCAACATCACAACATGACATGAGAGTAAGAAATAAAACATGGCAAACCTCCTTTGTGTGACCCTTTTCTGACCTTGAGGCAGCAATACCTCTTCTGCAAGTTTCTACATTTCAAACATCCTTTGATCCCAGCGTTTCTGCCTGGCGCAGGAATACGTATATGTAGTGGGGAGTAAATAATAAAAAGCTGACGTAACCATGACAAACATAAAAAGGCAGATCTGTCTTTCAACCTGTTGCATCATGCATCAAGTGCGGCAGCAAAAAAAAAACCTTAAAGCTCATTGATAAAATTGGCCGTTGGTGAAAAATTACACTCAAGCAACATGTTGGTTAAGGCTACATGAAATCTGTTTGACACTTTTCTAACATTAAAATAGCTAGGAATCAGGAAAATAAAACTGACTTGCGTATAACATCCAGCACCTGACAGTAACTACTTTTAACTAGCTTGAAAAAAATACGTGCACAAAATGTTCCCTGGCTCCTTGTAAAAGCTTCTTTCAATAGAAATAAAGAATGTCTTTTTCATATTATTGTCAAGCCCTAACTCCCCTTTACCTTTGAAAGGCTCATTGTAAGATTACATTTCCTGACTTACCAAACTGCTGAATAGCCCTGTCTGCACTCCAAGGCAGCTCCAGGGTCATGTGGACCCGGCGCCTCTGGTTTTTCACTCGCTTATCCGCTTGCAGGGAAATCCCAGAGCTGGCTGCCTCTGAGATGATAGCCACCAACTGCAGGAAACAGGTTTGGATTATTGGTGGAGATGTTCCTGAGCTATGTCTATTAGGCGACATCGCTTTTAAAAACAGATTAGTTGCAGCTAATTAAGTCATGAAAACAGCAATTTCGTATGGCAAGATCTATTTAAAAGCTGACCTTCTCTCCGCTCATGAAGCGATCTTTCTCCTTGATGTTGATGTGGTCAATCGTAAGACCTTGCTCAGCCCGCGACTCATAATGGACGCTGCCGTCAGGACGTCGCACCACGCGGCCTTTACGCCCAGTCATCTACAGACAAAAGAAATTTAGGAAGATGTTGTCACTGCAAACAAAAACAGCTGGTGGCGGTGACAACTGAAGAACATGTAAATCCCACCGGCAATATTTAAGCACTTAAAAGTTCGTACCTCAGAGACTTTATCTGGTCCTCCGAACTTATCGATGAGCTCATCCAATGTATTGAGAGGTAGTTCTTTTCCCAGTACTGATATTTTGTTGAGGAGGCCCTGCTTCATCTCCTCTATCCTGGCTGTGAATACAAAGCAGAGTATGACATTAACTACAAAAGCCTTGCAGGTCTGAGTCATTAAAATAAAAGGGCATGTAGGGCTATAGTGTCAAGTGGAAAGTAATTCTGTTGTCTGGACTTGTATCTGTTTGATCCACATACTTCTGAAAAGGCTAAAATATCTGCCTTTAACTGATCTTCTCACGCATCACTGAAGGGAAAAAAATCTTTAAAAAAAACCCTCCTTACCTGTCTGGCAGCTAGTGTGGTTCACAAAGATGACGTCGTCGTTGTCGAGCAGGGAGTCTGGTGAGGAGTTGGAGTCTGTGTCCATGCCTTCGGAGTCGCTACTGCTGTCGTCAGTGATGTTGATCACGCCGCCGCTGTCCACTGTGTGCTTGGGTACCTTGGTCTGGCGACCTCTTGGCTTCCCTGATTGGTAGCAACAGCATGTAAAGCGTTTAAGTAAAAAGGAAGCAGCACCAAAACACTTGTGTTTCATTTACAGAGATGATCAGAAGCAAAAACAGATGTAGAATCCAAGAATAATTGTGTTTTTTTTTTGTTTGTTTTTTTAGAGTCAAGGATGTCAAATACTTCACAAGCGACCTACTACAATAGTGAAAAATATAATACAGACACTGTTCGCACATGACATGATTTCGAGGGACACATGCTGGTATGGTGTGACAAAAGCATCCGATTTACTTACGTTTTCTTTTATTCCCAGGTGCCTTTTCTCTCCTCTGTTTCTCTGAAGGGAAATGCTTCGTTACAAGGGACTGGAATACTCCCCTGGAGTAAAGGAGAACAGAGAAAGAGAAAGAAACTTTTATTCTGAGAGCAAAGCAATCAAGACAACACAAGGCAGTTGTGACAGTGAGACACTTTGTACATTCCTCATTTAGCCTCATTTAGCTGTCAGGTTTTGACAGGCAGATGAACATGTTGTGTGTGATCTAATGTACTCAGACTTTTAGGTATGTCGGCTGCGAAAGGTTTAAGTTCAGATGAGTTCAGGGCGGTAGGTCCTTGTTGTTCTTCGTTTTTAGTGGATGAGTCATGGGCAATTAAAGCTGCTAATAAGTTAAGAGTTTTCCTGGTTTGATTGAGGATAAATGGTGAGGATTTAAACCATACAGACTGAGTATAGACAGTATGTACTGAGGACAAGTTCTCCAAACGGGCAAATTATCTGGCTTGGTTTGATGACACAACAAAATGAAATGGAAGAAACCCAGAGACTATACTAAAGACTACTGCAGAAGCCTCTTGGATGCGACTTGAAATGTCTTCAAAAACCTAAAAGAGAAATCCAGCGGCTTTTTCACTGAAGCTCCTTGGATTACCATGACTTGGATGCCGGAGAATATACACAGACATAACCACAGACTATAGTCTCCAGCCAATGGACAATAATTTTTCCAAACATGGTCAAATGTATCAGAAAATGTATTATAAACCTTCTTGTTTAGCTGCAAAAGTTTTCTGATGCAACTATGAATGTAGCTGTTCAGACAGTGCTGCAATGCAATTATAAGGCATTTTGTCATTTTGTACATGAATCTATCAACAGAGAAGCACTAATAAACAAACAGACAAAATACTCCTTTTCACTCACTCTGCTGCAGAAACAAATCTGTCAAGATGCCCATCATTCTCATCCAAGACTTCTCTGGTGCGAGATTCTCCAGTGGACTGAAGCCCAATAACGATGCACTGTGTTGGAAAAAAAATTAAATGCACATCAACAAACTGAGCACGTCCACGATGCTACCTGAAGTAAATTTTAATGAGGACTCGTTTCTGGCACCATGATAGCAAATATTAGAAAATCCTTGCGGACTTTATTTTAACTGAAACAAACTCGAGCCACACTGAAACATAAAAGCCACTGCTGAAGCCTGACTGATGCTTTCAGCTTCAACAAATAATTCTTGAGCAGAGAAAGTGAAGTACTGACTATGATTCAAAACAGAGCTCATTTACCAAAAAAAGTAAAAACTATTCTGTCCTTGCAGTCCTTCCACAGTTCTCCTCACTTATGTAACACATATAGAATTTCAGCTCTTGCTTGGACCTTCATCTGATAATGTCTTGATTATATACACTATATGACTCAGTGTTCAAGAGTGTGTTGTGCTGACCTTTCCAGCCGCCAACTCTTTTTGGGCCAGCTCCACCAGGCAGCGGACCTTGGCAGCGATACAGAGGTATTTGAAGAAGCGCTGGTGAGACGACCAGAACTGCCCCCACAGAGACTTCCTGCTGACCAGGCCCAGCTCGTCAGCTGCGCGCATGAACACTTGCAACGCCTCAGCCCACTGGACACAGATTCCAGATGTGAATTTTGACATATCAAACAAGCTAAAAGTATAGAGATATTGCAGTTAGAGGCAGGACACTCACCAGTTTGGCAGCTTTGTTATAGACCAGTTTGAAGTCGCTGTCCAGTCCAATCTCTTCGATGCGGAAAGACACACCTGAGAAGCTCAGCTGTCTGGCAATGTACATCCCGCTTACTTTCATGTCCATGGCAACAATCTCCATGGCCCCGACACCTCTGTATACAAAAGGCATATAAATTATTCAACATTATTTAATCATGGATCAACCGGCCATAACCACAACCTGATTGTGAAGAATTTTCCAGTAAGCACAGCAATTTGAAGCGATACATCCACATGATTGAAAGGCTCGGGGAAAACATAAACGCTCCAGAATGAATCTGACAGTACAAACCTCTTCTCGATGGCATGCAGGAAGTCCTCAAAGGTTCTGAAGGGTGTGCCCTCACCCCAGATTCCCAGGCGGCTCATATAGATCATGTTCTTTGGCTCAGAGGCACCTGGAACAGAAACGACAGAGGTATGTATTTTAAAACCTGCTGTATTGCATTATGTGCATGTATGTGCGTGTGTTTATTTCTTGTTGGCCTACCTGTGGCACTGGCATACACCACTCTGGCCAGTGGCAGCTTGTTTTGAAGGTCAAGCACTGCCTTGCCCATCTTCGTAGACGTGGCATTCTTGGCTTTGTGGCATTCATCAAAAATAATCTTTAATAGTGAGAGGTCAAGGACAAACAACACAAACATGTAATGCCACTTTGTGTGAAACTACTGCTGGATATGAGGATGCTCAAACATGCAAATATAAGCAAGACAGCACATGGAACAACACACGGAATGCCAATTTGCGCTCGATGTGACATTGAAATGAAAGGATACAACTCCATCAAAGTCTGGCTTGCACCAATCCAGGATCTGTTTAATCCTCGTCCGATGCTGCCCTCCCGCCTGGCTCTCTCCAATCAGGGCAGAGTAAGTTGCAAACAGGACTCCTTCTGAGGTAGCTGTGTCTCCATACTTTATCTAACAAAGCAAATCAAACATTTAAAAGTCGAGAATATGGTTCTTTGTTTCATCTCCTGCTTTGACAGGAGCCAAGAGCAAAACTAATATTCTCAGCTTGAAACATTAATTCCACCTGCACTCACCTTGTTTAAGGCATGCACAGGAATATTCGGTGCATCTATGTCTTTGAGATCTCTCTCTGCATCAAATTTCAGGTCATTGGATATGCTGAACCTGGGGGCAGGAACAGGAAAATCAGTAATTCAGCCCACTTTCACACAAACCAGCTCCTACATGCTCAGTATAATCTGGCATGCGATTGGATACAAAGCCCACTCTTAACAAAATATACTTTTCAATCACGTAAGCTATACCTGTTTCAAACTAGTTTTATGGTACCACTATGCGTAGTAAACCTCTCTTACCATAGTGCTTTCTTCCTTCCCTTAAGGTTGTTCTCGAGGATGATTCCTGCCACGGTGCGTCCCTTTCCGACCCCTGCCCCATCTCCGATCAGGAAGCCTGCCCTCTGGTTGTTCTGGAGAATCACCTCGTGTTGCTGAGGGCGCACAAAGAGCAAATGTATGAACGAAAACGCCAACATAATCACAACATTAATCATTCATAGTTCCTAAAAAGAATAAGTGCTTTATGTATTGTGAGCTCTTGCGCGTACCTGGCAGGCATAGATTACAGCCTCTAGCTGCAGAGCAGACAGCAGGCCACTGTTAATAGTTGATTCAGGGATAGACAGAGTGTATGTGATGTCAGGAGGAGGGACACTGGATAGCGTGTTGGTTTCCACCACTATGTCAGGATGGGAAATTCCTATAGTGGCTGCAGAGGGGGAAAAAAACACAGAAAGGCTGTTTAAAGAACGGAAAGTCTTATAAACATGTTAACAGAAAACTGCATAACTACCATGTTATATCAAGAAAAGAAAAGAAATGACGTGTAATTAGGTGCAGTCTAGTCGCGTACATTTGGAAGGTCTGTACTCAGCATATGTGTCTACATGTCCCAGTTCCTCCGTCTCCTCTTCCTCTGCATCCTCTTCCTCCTCTGGTGCTGACTGGGTTCGAGCAGCCTAAAAATCACCACACAGACTTCAGTTATACAGTTCATTGTAGCATTTCTTGGATTTTGGGAGTTTCAGTTTAGGATGAAGACAAAGTAATAAAGACACAGTCGCTGAAAGTTAGAAGCAGGTTAATAAGAAGTTAGCACAGCACACGTGGACTCCTTATCAAGAAACATTAACTGGTAGAAGAATGAAATAACAAATGGAACTGAAAAAATACATAAAATCAGTTAAAGCAGAATGAATGAGAGCTGTGAAACATGTAAGCATGGAAGTGTAGCGCTTGACACATTCAGGCAACGTCAGCTTATTGTTATCTGAGAAAGTGGAAATGCAGAGGATCCCTTTTTGACAGACAAGCAAATATTAAACCGCCTCTTCTCTTGTCACATCAGAAATTTAAATTGACAATGGGCGGATATAGTGTTATATATCTACATCCTCTGTGCAACATACATCTGCAGAATGTCCAATGTGTGCAACATGGAGCAATGCTTTCATCGTCTGTGATAATACAGACTTTATGAAGGGGGCACAGGCATTGCAATTTCACTTATCAAGTACTGCTAACTTGCTGTACTGCTCTGTCAAAATGTGATCCCCAGATTAGTGGCTTGTTTTTGTGTTAAACAATCTACGGCTGCATATAATACATACAACATAATCTGCGTATCTGTGCATTAGTGAAAGCAGCTGATAAATAGACTCATTGAGTTAGAGAGTAGAGGTCTTATTTTAAAATCAGATTGGAGAGATTGGTGTGGCTACCTGGAATCCTCCTAAAGGTGGTGTGCTGATAATAGCGGTTATATCATCCAAACTTGCCAAGCCTTGAAACCTGCTGGTGCCATTCTGCTGTCAACAAAACATAAAATGAAGAAATGCAAACTCAAACAAACATTGGGCCAAATGTATAAGAAAAGAGAAACAAAAAAATGGAGTGATCAGACGGTTTGTGTTTGTCTCTATATGCGTGTGCATGAGATCATGTGGGCACTCCACGGATGTCTTATAGGACAGCACTCAACAAAATGCAATTTGCTGTCTGGCGGTGAAAAGCCAGCTACAACAACAAAAGGCAGATATAGCCGTGTATGTCTGGGAAAATGGATGAAATGAGGGCAGAATGAAAAGGAAAACATAAAAGGCTTTCAGGAGGCAGAAAAAAAATAAATGTACTCTTATCATATCAAAAAGAAATCCTCAGACCCATCTAATTCAAGGAAGGCTCAACGGCAACGCAAGCAGGGACAGAGGAACAACACTCGAGAATAAAGTTGCTTTCTTCGGCTCATGAACTTCGAGACCAGGAAATTACGTATAAACCTCTTTTTTCTGTATTGCTGAGTCAACAGCAAGCACAATCAGAGCTCAATTAGAGATATTTAACAATAAAGAGTTGTCAGAATTTAATATTGTTTTACATTTTTTGTTGGCAAAACTAAAGAGAGAAGGATATCTGTGTCCTAGCCAGGTAAACACTTACTGAGATTGTTGTGTCCCTGACTATTTGTCCAAAAATTGTGCAGAGACTAAGACATGGGTAAAACAGTCAATAACAGGCCAGCCTAAGACCCATCCATCCATCCATTATCTATACACCACTTAATCCTCACTAAGGTCACTGGAGCCTATCTCAGCTGACTTGGGGCGAGGGCAGGGGACACCCTGGACAGGTCACCAGTCTATCACAGGGCTACACTTAGAGACAGACAACCAAGCACACTCACATTCACATCTACGGACAATTTAGAATCACCAATTAACCTCAACATGTTTTTAAGAGGCCGGAGAACCCGGAGGGAACCCACGCTGCCCTCACCGGGATGCGACCTTCTATCTGCAAGGCAACAGTGCTACCAACTGCACCACCTTGCAGTCCGAAGCCTAAAACCTTTATGCAATAAACAGACAACTAGTTAGCACAGGGTTAACCATTTAACCGTGGTACCAACTGACTCCCCAGCAATGTGTTCTATCAAATTAACTATTTAAAAAAAAGAATTACACTGAAGCCTGGGTCAGAACTGAGTTGCAGTGTAGAAGATATTGTCTGTATAGTTTCATAAATATGAACATGAGCCCAGCAACACCATGAAAGTCCCATCAGGGAGTGAAGCATGGCAGTGAGCCAGGGCAGCACTCACGCTGTTCACAGCATAAGAGGGACAATGTGACCCTTGTTTGCTGTGTGGTGTTAAATACCCACCTCCTCTAGTAAAGACATACGTGTGTTGATTTAAACACATCTGTATTACATAATAGTTGTGCGAGACGTCGGTGTGGTTTTTGGTAGTGACGTGTGTGAGTGCTTACTACTGACCTCCAACTGGCTCTGTGCTGGTGTGGTGGTGGTACTAGTGTTGACGTCCCAGAGCGTGGGCACTGTGTCTAGGTTGTCTGTGCTGATGAAGGACTGGGCATCAGCATACTCCGACAGTGAGTCAGCCGGAGAGGAGAACAGAGAGTTTGTGGAGAGGTCATCAATGCAGGACAGGTCCTAAAGGCAGAGAAATACAGCAGGCGTTTAGTTCAAAGTCTAAAACAGGACAAAATTTAGGGCAGAAAGTTGAGCTTATCGAGATTTCGGCACTGAGAAAGACAAATGCAGATTCCTAAGTCAGAACTAATATATACAACCACATCAGCAAACAGCCCCTCACCATCACATTTTATGCAAACACAGAGGAGGATTATGAATCTTAACAACACATCCGATATCAGACACAGTGCACATCATGCATCACGGGAATAATGTGTGTACTGAAAGAAAAGAGGCGTGAAATGAGCATGGACGGGAGCGAACCTTGGACAATAAAGGTGCCACATTCATTTTGGATTTCAGCCTGTACTGCAATCTTTTGGGAGTAATACGAGTAGCCTAAACAAAATGTAATCACACACAGATGTGTGAGAGTAAGCATGTAAAATAGAAAGCGAGGGGCAGGCATAATAAGGCTGCTTGTGTGTGTGTGTGTCATTTCAGCTATGGCTGCCTTCCAGTCGCCCCTCTATTCATATCCTTTCCAACCCATTAGCATGCCATGTTCTTTAACTAGCCTCTCACAGGCACCCCTGGGCCCCCTGAGACTTATAAACATGGATGTGGTGAGATAGGGATTGAGTGATGGCGGTGGTGGGGCATGGAACACAACGACAAACCATACAGAGGAGAGACTGTTTTTGGAAATGGGACTATGGATTATTGTGTGGGTGTGTGTCTGCCTCTATGAGGAGTGTATGCATGTATAAATTTAAACACTCTGGGCCATGTGTGGAGATTCCCACACCCCCGTGTTCCAGATACACCCTCCAGAGGACCACGAAGCAGCCTTGAAGACTACCCAAATGTTCTAGCTTGCCAATTTATTGCACTGTTTGCCTCATTTTAAAGGGATTGTTCCACATTTTAGGAAGCATGCTTACATCACACAGAGAAGATTGGTAATTTCTGTAGTGTATGTATGAATCTGCAATCACCTTTCAGCTAACTTAAGGTCCAGCTAAGACACATTAAGGCACACAGGGCTAGTCTTTTTGCTAAAACAGTTAGCTGTTTGCTAGCAGAAGATTTATATTTAGTGTACACGTATGTGACTTCTTGTATGAATCAGTCTTTTGATTCAAGTCTCAGCAACAACGAGAATAAGCATATTTCTCAAAATGTTGACCTTTATCTTTAAGGTCTAGGTGTCTCTAGAGATTCCCCCCAGCACAGTATAGACACAAATAATGGTGAGTGGTGTTAAGGCACAGAATGCTCTTGAGAGTGAAGCTGACTTTTGTAAGAAGAACAATACTCTGCTGTGGGATCCCAAAGTAAAAAGGTCCAGGAACAGATATAAATGATTAGCTGTGCTGCTGACTCAATTTAACAATATGCTGCTACTGATTAATGCTGAGAATTTGCGCTGACTTCGGTCATAGCTGCCTGTTAGACATTACTCACAGTTCAGCAGAAAATGTTTCACAGCCATGAGAGGAAAAGATGTAGAACTGGAAGTGTTAACCTGACGACAGCAGACAGACAGAAACTGGCTCAGCCCTGCGTGTTCCTACATATACATGAATGTGTTTCTTGCCCTCTGATGTTGGAGAAGCAAAGCATCCTACTGACTCTAACAAGTGGATGTTTGTGCTTTGGAAAGAGTGCTTTTTCAAGGGTACAGCACTCAGCTTATCAGTGTGTGCTGGTAGTTTTATGATTATGACTTGCTCTTCAACTCTCTCTCCCTACCTTTCTCTTTCATTTTCTTCCTTTGTTTGTGTGTGTCTGCATGTGTGCGCTTCCTGAGGGCAAGATCAGGCATGAGCTCTGCAAGCAAGCTCTCCAAAGTTGCTTTACCCTGCAGACAGTTAAGTGGAACAACTGGCTTTTGTGCGGTGACAGAGGGGTAGACGGAGACAGTGTTCTTGTAAAATACCACAACCGCTCACAAGCACATAACCTGTCACTTTCTACCGCCATTCCTTTCTCCATTTTTTTGTTTATCCTGTCAACTGTGTATCTCATCCTATTTTGTGTCCTCATTCTTCTCTCTACACCCTCCTTTCTTGGCACCTCTGACTGAAGATAGATGAGTAAACAACACGGCTTGGAAAAGGGACACCATGTCACCAGAGGCATCATTCCATGGAAGCAAAATTGCGGAAACACACAGATAAGCAGTGACACATTTATTTCACCAGATAAAATAACACTGCTTGGTATTTTTTTTTACAGCAAATCCAGCTGCAAACATTTGATGAAAAGTTCATTAAAAACAGACAAAATGTAACCTAATCAGATTCTATATGCTAGCTGTCAGTCATGTGTGTTCGTATGCAGCCCTGGCTTTGTCAAATGGAAACAAAAAAAAAGTGACTCAGACAGATCCACACAACAATATTCTAATGTGTCTTGAGTACATTTGTGTGTCTTTGTGCACAAGTCACGCAGAAAGAGAAGGACAGGGGAGATGGAGTAGAAGACCAGTGGGAGGAAGAGGGATGGTAAATTTGTCACATTCTTACTATCTAAATATGCGAACTGGCTAAATATCAACAAATTTTCTCCAGAATCGCAGACTCCACCTTTAAAATCTTAATGATTTCAGTGTGTTGCATTACAATAAACTGAGTTCAAGTTGAAACTCATCGTAAATCACTTTGTTCTGTAAAATATGTGATTTTGTGTTTAGGCCTGTGGGTTATTGCTCTGTTAATATGATGCGACTTCTGGCTTTTCTGCATCATGTAAACCCCTGTAACAGGGCGTACCATGCAAATACAGTGTTGTTATTAAGACAACAAACCTGATATAGGGGAATGACAGAAAAATGCAGCCGTTTGGTTGCTGCTAACCAAGATATGTCCAACCTCAGGACCATGCTAATCGAGTTGTTAAGCGGAGCGTAACAGAGGCAGCAGTGTTTGTCCCCCGGCAGGCCCATACCCAGGGCTACTTCATCTACTGCTCCTAAGAGTGGGCCCTGCCAAGCAGAGATAAGGCTTGAATTCCAACTGCTCTGATGGTAATCTGGCTCCTTCCACAGCACACAGCCTCACAACCATATAACTACTAATCTTGCCTCTCTCTCTCTCTCTCTGTCTGTCTCTCTCTCTCTCTCTCTCTCTCTCTCTCTCACTCTTTTTCTCTGCTGTGCAATAAATAAAATATCTGAATGTGTGTGTGTGTTTCTGCATGTGCACGTATTTCTTTCAGGGAATTAAGTCTGCTTAAAATCCTTTATTTTTCTTCTTGGAATAGGTTAAAAAAAAAATCACAGGACGTGTGTGTGTGTGTGTGTGTGTGTGTGTGTTTATGTGTGTACATGTACACAGCAGAGGACATGAAAGCTCATGTACATATTATTTTTCCTTTGTCCCCCCCTCCTGGTTTTTGCCTTTCACGTGTTCCTGTTTCACTTCAGTTTCTCTTCTGCTGTGAATTCTGAAGCCAGTATTATACAATAACTCCCCTACACAGCATAGCATAAAAAACAGACCAATACCGGCATCTTTTTGTCTCGTCTATAACACATCATCTAAAAAACCTTGTGCTAATTCAGAGAAGCTTTGCATAGAGGCTCAATGCACATCTGTGCAGACGGAGCATCATGTATCCACAGAAGCGATAAACTGTATTTGATTGTCTGGATAACGACAGTTGTCTGCCTTCTGTTAACTAATGTAGGCAGCACCACAGTGGTGAAAAACAGCTCCAGCAAGCTCCTCAAGCTCACAAGATGCCTGCAGAGTTACTTGAAGGTTGTGGCTAAAGGTGGTGGTTGGCAGCTTTAAAAATCAGAACTGGAAAAATACACTTCTAAACACAAACCAACCGCAAATCGCTTAACTCCATCATTTGTTTAATCTTTTAATGTTGATGCATTTACTGTGTGATGAGTAATCTTAAAAATGTGTCACGTAAACACCTCTCCTTAAAAAATCCCACTGAACTCACAACCATGTGAGGAAGTTACAAAATTCAGGATAAAATAAATATTAGCAAACACATCACTACAAACAGAAGTATTTATCTGTTGTTCTCATGCATCTTTAACAGTTGCCATGGGAGAAGCGAGGAACAGCCGTTTCTGACATAAAGACTATGCTGACGTTGGTTATGACACATCCCTAATGATAAACACAGGAGCCTCCATACAAGGAAGTCTTTTAGTTAGTTTATTAAGCATAATTTCCGTGTGCCTCTGTCTATAAATGTTCTTCTTCCCTATTAAAGGAAAACTATTTCTAATCAAAAATGCCATCAGTGATAGCCGTGAATTACTGCATTTTGAAGGGTCTGAAATACAAGTGAAGGTTTATCAGATAGCAGTCGTTCTTCAGCATGTAATTAAATGAATATACTTCAAGGGATGCTGCTCGTGTTTCCTGACAATCTCCATTATAAAATAATCACATTAAGCACCGCTATACTTTTTTGTTATTAAACTGATTTTGCTGCTCAATTTAAAATGGTCAGATTGTCTGTGCTGTAGTTCCTGTCAATGTTAACCCGAATGCTATCCGAGGATGTGCAGTATATGAACAGCCACACGCCTCCTGTGACACACATGGTGCTGTCAGCTGTTACTTTTCACTGGCATCTTTTTCTGGGCACGCTAGAAATGTTGACAACAGTTGATATGTCGACACTCCTGTAACGACACGGACACTGTTCCTCACTGACTTCCTACCTGTAAAAAAGCCCAATTATTTTTGATGCAGTTCATGAACAAGTCAAAAGTAGTCGATTTCACGAACCAACCTGAGAAAGAAATGACTTTTTCTGACTGTAGCTTTTGTCACAGTTGAATATCAGGAGACTACAATTTTCACTCATTATCAAATAGTACATTTAAGATAACTGCTCTAGTCTTGGGCCACATCCTGTTAAACTCAATAACCTGCCTCAGTGCAGGGCTAGACCGAGGCCCCAGCCAGACCAGGCCCAGGGCTTTCCCCTCCTACACACTGCCAGCTTGGCTGCATTTCCAAGGCCAGGAAACAAGTCAC